ACCTCTCATTAGCAGGTTTCTTTTCTTCTTATTATTATTATACTCTTTCTCATATTTTTATCCCTGCTTTTAACTCCCTTTACTTTGTACATTGCTATCCGTGTTCAGATGCCACCATTGTGCTTTGTACGGAGAACAAAACACGACCCATAATTTTATGAAGATCTAGATTTTCCTAGGAACATTTTTTTCTCCATGAGCTGGCAGGCCGTATGTGCAGTAGTCTGGCTAAAAGGAGTTTTCTGCTGATTTTAGAGTAGGGAGAACTCAATTAAACAGAAGCAACAAAAGCAGAATGAAAGAAGAATATACAGCACACTGCAGCAGTAGCTGAAACGATTATATAGTACATGACATTGCAGGAGGTTGAAAAGAATACACTGTTGGTGGCTGTTTTGTTACTCTCTGTGAAGAAACTTTGGAGGCAATTTCTTCTGCTCTTCTGACCCCACAGTTACGGTTATTGCTTTTTGGTGATATATTACTGTACTACCAAATGACCTCCACATTTGAATCATAAATCAGTAGGCTTCCAAATCAAAGCTACTTAATCTTCCAACAGCAGAAGATGCTATGAGCTATTTTAATACCATTGCGAGCAAAATGGTCTCCTGCCCCCCGGTATAAGTGGATCAACTGAGCTTTTCAAGCTGTGATTTGAAGGAGTTGGGGGATGGGAGATGGAAGGAGGGAGAACTGAGCTGGCACTGTCTCCTGCTTGAATTCCCAAGGGTGTCACATTCCCTAGCAACAGTCTAGCAGCACTTGCTCAGAAAGGTGAGAAATTCTTTTCTGTCTGAAAACATGAAAGGAGGAAGCAGCAGCTGACGCTGCAGCAGCAGCCACTGCAGCAAGCGAGGAAGGGCCCTGCGCATCCCAGTCTTGCTGCGGTGGAGCAGAAGCAGCAGACGTATACAGGGAAGGGCATGTGATCAGAGCAGCACGTATGTTCTTAGTGGTAGGATATATGCTACAGTTGCAAAGTTATTAGGATTAAAGCAAGCTGTGAAATTAAAACCTAATGGCTATTTCAGAATAACATGTAGAAACAAGCCCTATAATCTTATAAATGAAATGCAAACACTCAGTACTAACTTTGGATTACTATTAACCTGTTAAGCTGGCATAGTCTCATTTTTTTTATCTCATTCTACCTGAGTACCAAATGGAAGCCACTAACTCCATTAAGGTACTCAGATTTGATAAAGTATCAAACTCACTAGTCTCTAAAACGTTTCTCTATTTTAGCTTACCACAGGCAGCACCACCCCCAAATGGCCATACACCAGTGTCCAGTATTTTGTGCCAGAGGAACAGGATGCAGATTAGCTATACAATTATTTACTGAAATAATTTTCTCTTTCCTCCTCCTTAAAGGTGCTTGAAAAATGAGCCTTATGTAAATAAACAAATGGTAGGTCAATGGCATGATAAATAGTGCTGTGAAAGGAGGACATGGGCCACATGGTGGCACTCTGCCCATATAAACCTTTTGTCACTAGGCAGATTGACAGGCTATGCAATATCCATCTCAGCAGAGGTCCCCATCCCAGACAGTGCCCTGTCCCTTTAAGTCCCATGAAAGGTGCTTATCACTATACACAGGAAGTTTCCTAAAGAAAATCAGGCTATGAGGTATCACACTTTGAACTAATAGCAATGGTTACTGAATGTCATGAGTGCTGCAGGCACTTCTTCTCCCAGAAGACCATCCCAGCATATAAATTAGGAAAAAATTGAAAAGCAGATGACACTCTCAAGTATCTGGTACAATATAGAGGCATGCAGAGCACAGTTCAAACAGGCTACTGGTCTACGAGACCAATCTTACAGTAGTAGTGTTGTCATAGCTGCGAGACACCAAGAAAATAGTTGACAAGATTTGTGGAAAAAAGGCAATTCATTAAAGGACCACCCACAGCTTTCTAACATGTGAGGGGGCTGTATGTTGAAAAACTTGTCTGTTTTTTGCCTGCTGCACCAATTGGTCAGACAGAATGAACTATTTCTCCCTACAGACCTTACAATAAATCTGCATCAGCCTTTCCACAGTTTGTTGATCAGCTCCTGCTGGACAAGCTATTTTATGCTTTTAAATGCAGTCCACGTGAAGTCACTTCAGCACACTCACATACCCAAGTCTTTTTTCGTTTGATCTTGCTCGTGTAAGACCGACACATGTTTAACCATGTAAAAGAGTTAATTACCCACGAGTTTACAATCTTCCTTTTGTCTCCTAATCTGAGAGCTCCTGAGCATGTCGAACTGCAGCAGTCACAGCCTAGTGCTATCAGCAGCTCACAAGTGCTGCTTTGGCCATTCAGGCTTGCACATCAGGACATCGGAAGTCTCAGCAACACCTAATGCTAAGACTCCTTACTACTTGGGAGAGGGTCTGCTTCTACCGTGAGTAGCCTCAGTCCCAACCCCCTTAACACCTCTCTCTGTAATATTTGAAGAGCTATGGAGCCAATATTATGCCCCTCCATATCCCAAGCCTCTATTTTTTGCAGAAAGAGAAGGGCTAACATACATTTTAAATGTGCATTACCATGAGTGCACTCATTTCATCATTCAGTTGAGAAACCACAAAGCCATCTCTCTTCAAAGGTCTCCTCCTTATGAGCTGCAACTGCAAAAGCTTACCTGCATTACAGCCCTCCTCAATAAGCCACTTTGAAACAGAGTACAAGTAAATGCTGAAATAAGCCAGAGATCTAGGCCCACTGCACTCCTCCTTGCTTTCCCTGAACAAGGGCGCTCTCTCAGTTAACATGAAATAGAGTGGCATAAGAGAGTCATGTAAATACAGATAGAACTTGTTATCTACATCAATAACAAACAAGATGAAAGGAGACCTTTACCCTCACAGCCAACCCATGGAAGTTAAAGGGAGAGCCTGCTTCAGATCTGCACAAAGGCATCTTGCACAAGCCACCCACAAAGAGGCAGTAGGAGGCACAACTGCTCATCAGAGGGACAGCAATAGGAGCTCCATTCTTCCTCCTGAAATACAGCCTGCTTGATTCAGAGAACAAGGAACAAACACATCACTATCTTTGCTTCCTGTCCTCCCCCACAGGAGTCATAAAGTTTTAAAAAAAAAAAAAAAACCCACAACCGTCTTTAGATTGAAATGTATTTAGTACCAGTCTGCATTGCAGAGAAACTATAGGCAAGGAGGGTGTTCAGAGCCAGACAATCATTTACAAACTACAGTGGGACTGGGGAGCACATGGAACAACTCTCCCCATGCATATTCTAGAAGTCACTTAATTTACACAGTATGTATTATTTACTGAGGATAGGACCAAACAGTCAGCAGCTTGATTAATCCTGGTGAAGGGTGATGGTTTTCCAACAGCACGTAATAGGATGTGCTAAAAGGCACGCCACTAAAAAGGCACCACTTGACTCACGAAGCTTCTCCTTGCAGCCCCACTATTCAGAAGCTATTCCAATTCATGACCAGTTCCAGCTCTGACAATATTTTGACTATGTTTAAAAGAAAATTCTGTGACTATAGGTATGAGAAACTGTTCTAGGACAGAATATCTAATGTCAGATAAGTGTGGCAAAGCTATGCAATCCCCCTCTCCCTCCCCTAAAAAAACATTAAGTGAGAAGATACATACCTGAGGCAAAAATAAGTAAAGATGAACTCAGGTATCTGTTCTTTGGTTCTTTACATTTAAAAAGCTGCCTACTGATTCAATTCTCCTTGCACTGAACTCAAAAGAATCTCTATTTCCTGAACCAGCTAAAAACATTTAAGACTCTTAGTTTGTGTAGTCATCTCAGTGATAAAAAACAGTTAAATTGAAGGGTACCAGAACAGATTTTTTTGATTATCCACTGCTACATACACTGTGTAGCGAGGCCCAGCAGTAAAAACAAGATCTAGAAAGCCAAAATATTCAACAATAACTGCAATTTAACTAGCTTCTCATCTTCATTATTTTAGTAGTCAGATGAACAAAACTGTTTTTGAGGAGGCATCCAGTTTTCTCAATTTGTTCAGTATTTAAAGTTTGGTTTTGTAGGATGTGCTGTGTGTAACCTTAAAAAGGGCCAAAGAATCATACAAACTATTTCAGGCTGGTTTAGAAACCTGATTTTAGAACAGTTTAACTGGGAACAGCAGAGTGCCCAAACCTATTTTTAAGCTACAAACCACACCTCTAACAAATAACCAGGCTTTTGTCACGCATATTAAGAAAATTAATCTTTCTGGCTATGTTTCACCCCTTCCCTAGAAGTCTAGGCAACTGCAGAAAGCTAACGTTGGTTTAAAAATCTAACCAAAGCAAGTAACAAGTCCACTTCTCACCTGCAATTCACTCATACTACTCCAAAATTGGAAAAAAAACTTGCACTTCTTCCCAGGGGATGCATGGAAGAAGAAAGGAAAGTGAGAAAAGTAGAGGAAAATACATAAGAATACAGAGTAGGCAGCCACAGATTGGGAAAAAGACAACTGTTCAACTCCTGCCAGTTTGATTCCCTGCTTACGGAAGTTGCAAGACAAATAGCAGCTACAGAACACTGAGCAAAACACCATGTGCGTCAATGCCTAGAGTTTCCCATTACTGCAAGCTATTTTACCTCCTCTAAGGCTTGAAGGTTGTTACTACACGTGTATAAAGTTCAGACTCGCATACATGTCATTTCTCCTTCAGAAATACCAAGCTTATGTGAACTACAAGGTGCTAAGATAATAAGTTATCCTTATTTATATGCATCTCATGCTTCTCACTTATAACAGATTTAATGTGTCCCCTTTTCTAGGGGGAGGGAAAGGGGGTAACTCCTTTTGTGACTGAACAACAGTACTCAAGTGGAAGCTTTATATACCAACTTTTCTAAAGCAGGAAATAGTAGCCAGCATTAGCATCAGTTCTAAGTTTTACTGACCTAGCAGGGCACGCCTATTAGGCTTTCTTGTATGACTGTTACAAAGTTCAGCTATTGCATAACTGGGAAGAGCACAATAGGCAGGATTAATAAGGAAGGCTTTTACTTGACTATAAGTGACAAGTCTCACAGTAGTAGTCCCCGGTATGTCAACATTCAATAGCTTGGAGATAATGATGCAGTATTTACACAGATGCATATTAAGAACACTGAATTCAAGCTTGCTTGTCACAGCAGAAATACTCAGTCAAGTAGTCTCTCCTCTCCAGTCTCCTGGTTAGGAAAGAAGTTGAGTTCTAGGAATCAGCATTCACTGGACACTTGCCTGAACTCTTCAGGCAAAAGGTAAGACCATTATCCTGATAGTTTTCACTTCATGCCATTAAAATAAGAGGACATTTCATACTCTGTGTTTACTTTAGGCTGTAATATCATAGTATGATAAACAAAACTCTTCAGAATGTTGGAAAGATTTCTTGTCATTCAAAACATGTTTTATTGTTCAGAAACACTGCACTGCAATAAAATCCGTCATGTACATTCTTTGTCATCTGTATCTTCACATCAATGTCCCTTTCAGGCAGGTCAGGCAAGAAAAAACACTCTCACAATGAAGTCAAAACATTACTGAAAGGCATCCTTTGTCTTTCAGATCGCAGGCTCCCAACAAATTAATTTTTTGCCCAAATAAGAAATACAGATATCTAGAAAGACTCAAAGGGGAGGGAGGACACTAAAATCCTTTTAGAACTTCTTGAAGAAGAGTGACAGACTTTGCTGCCTTCCTTCAGTGCTAAGTTTTTACTTTTCCAATTTTATATAATGTGCGACTTCAATGCATGTAAATTAAGTCTCTTTACTGAGACAAGGCATGTAGTAAGGGAAGAGGAAAAGCTGGTTACTTCCAGGTTGCCTATCTACATATTTGTGCTTGTAGATCAGCAGCAGCTTGCTAAAGTTTAAAAAAAAAAAAAAAGACAGAATAGGAATGAATGCACCCAAGTTAAATGGCTTTTAAGAATGTTAATATGGAGAACAATGATACCACCTACAGTTCTCTTTTAATGACCTCTGTGTTCATTTTTATTTGAAAACAAGTTTTTTCGAACCATCATGGGCCACTGACTTTTGCAGACCGTTAGTTAAAAGTTTCTTTCCAAGTATTGTTTACTTGGATGAGTAACTCCTTTTTAGAAGGGTAGTTATTAAGGACCTGTAAGGCAGCAAGACATTAAATACAATGGTTTACATTGCTGGATAACAAAGAAGGCAAGCTAAGAATTAATCAAGGATTATTTGGGGGCAGGGCATCATATTCATAAAGGTGTTTCAATTTTATCCCCATTGCAATCAACACAGCAACTGTAGATGGCAAATCTTCCTTGGTTGTAACTCAGGTTGAGCAGACTCCCTGGCTTTATTTCAAGTTAAGAGATTTTTAGTTCTTTTTCTCCATCCTGCCAAGAGAAGAACAGGTTTTGTAGGAATGAATGCCAAACTGCAATTACCAGCACAAATCTGGACTTACAGTAGAACTTTATGAGGGACACCTGGCCAGTGATTTATGCAAAACACTAGTCCACTTGCAGTTTTGCTCAGTCTCATTTCTGAGTTTACAATTCAGAAGGCTTCATCCTCTCTTGGTTCTGCAATGGGCTTCTTGGAGAAGAGAAGAGCCATAGCCCTGACTCATCCGCATTGCTCGGGGCAGTGTCTGCTGCTCTACTAGCTACATAACAAGGCTGCAAGACTGCAGTCTGCTCCCCAGTCAAACTATTCTGGATCCCTCTTGTATGTACCAGAACAGTTGGCTTCGGCAGGTTTGGCTTGGCTTCTTTCAGCCATGCACCCCTTCCAATCTTATGGAGGTTTTCATCTCAGGAACTGCTTACTGAGATTAACACTTGTTGAATGACCACCAGGACAATACATTAAGCAAAAGAGAATAGCTGGCAGCTGATGAAAGCCCAGCCTACATCACAATAAGGGTCTTGCGGCCCCCCCCCCCCCCCCCCCCAAGAACTTCAGTGGCAGTGCAAGCCAACAAATAACATTGCAGGCTATTAGCAACTTGTTTCTTCATTACCTTTTGCCAGCCTATTAAGCCCCAGGAATTTGCACCATAGGTAAAGCCACTAAAACAGCACTCCAAGAGTCAGTTTATGGTTTTCCCCTTATTTAAGTGGAACTTGCCTGTATTTGATCAGTCGTCCTCCTTGAATAAGTTGTGCAATTTCATTAGTAAAGTGGCATGCAAAGAGAAGCCAGTTTCTTGGCTGTACTTTGTAGGCAAATCTCATGAAAGTCAAGGAATAACAACACAGTGCTGCAAAACATGATAGATAGTTATGTTGAGGCATTAAAAATAATCTGAGATATCATTATCATACTCACGGAATACGTAACACACAGAATGCTTCTCAGTGGCATGTCGTTTTCCACCAGTCCTAAAAACTTGCCCACTTCTGAGGATCCAATGCACAAAAAATGCACAACAGCACTAGCTTCTGTAGTGCAAGACTTACAGGGCTGCAACTTTCTGCAAAAATTGATTTCCTTATGCTTCCCTGTGATGCAACTGAAGTCTACCCAGGTTATTACCCAAGATATCTCTCAGCAAGAGGATAAAGAAAATCCTGTTAATCCCAGTGGGACACAGCCCTTTCCACACAACTGTTTCAACATTCCCTGTGCTAGGAAATTTTTAAAGTAATAGGTAGGTATTTTACACACAGTTCTTGCCAGGAGAGTTTAAGAGAAGAAGGTTCCCTTCCCCAGGAAGCCATATTCAGAAGCATAAAGCTTTGTTACCTACTTTCTAGGAAGGCAAGAAACAGCTTCAGTCTACTCTCTGGCTGCAAATGCATTTAAACGTGGGAAATTACAACCCAAGGAGTCATTAGTGTTGCAAAGTTCAGTTTTAATTTTCTGACAGGCTTAGCTTAGTCAAAACTAATTTCAGAAGGGAGCTGTTTTAGGAAAACTGCCTTTTTCCAGTACAAACCCTTTAAGAGGGACAGCTAACTCTCCATACAAGTAATAGCCTATATAAACTTGTAAAAAAACATATTCTAGAAAAAGGGCAGCTGGCACAATCTGGTAGTAGCACCATCAAAAATTCTATTGCAGCAAGTAGCATAAGCAGAACCACTTGATAGATGTGAACTTTTAACTGGTTCTAATTAGCTGTTTTATAATAAAATGACAGCTCAGTTGTGTGTTAAGAGATGCAAGAACAAAATGCCTTAAAAAAAAAAAATCTAGTTTTACATCCAGAATTTTTACTTTAGAAAAGAACTTTCTAAAGATAGGTTAAATGGCTTAAAGAACCACAAGCCATGTCTTTACAAATGAAGGGCTTAAGCCAAGCACTAAGTAACTGTGCCCAGAACTGCTCATTATATCTGTTTAGACTGATTATCCAGCAAAGCTGGAATTGTGTTAGCCCAGTGAGGTCAGGTCAACCAAGCAATGGCTTATTAAAATATCGCTGGTACCAAAGCAGTACAACTGTATATATGCAGTACAGAACCCAAGCTGGTAGACTCTATTCTTGTACCATGGCACTGATTTTTTTTTTTAATTTCATATTATGAGGTCTTGCTCATTACTTGATTACACTTAATTATTTGCACCAACCACATGCAATTCCCTCAAGCTTTTAGAAGTCTGGTTAAAGTCTGTATCCACATACAGAAAATTTTTTAGTTTAAGGACAGCCTAGTAGCTATTTAGACTTTATAAACTTCTGTTCAGCTATGATTCGGATCAAATCCGGCAACAGGAGTAACTAGTTGCAGCTGAAGTTGTTAACAAGTAGAAGTGTTGGGCATTTCCTCAAACTTCACCCTGAACATTTTTCCTTTCTGAATGTTTACGTTATTTAAAATCATTTGCTTTCAAGCAATTTACTTATCAGCAAGTGCTTACTTGGAGGAGTCCGACATTTATACCAAAGATCCAGAACATGGACTTCTGATTTGAAATCACTGGGTTTGCTAGTGAGCTTCAAACTCTAAGTTTATACTTGAAGTGCAATAATCTTTGGACTGTGTGCATATCCCAGACAGTTATGGCAGAATGAGCATACAGTGCTTTGTCTTAAGTGTCTGAACTTGGCCAAAATGGGCAGCTGCCACCAAAAAGCTATTTTGCAAAACACAGATTTGTTCAAATATGGTCATGAATACAGTGATACCATCTCTAAGAAGTACATTAAGACACTGAATTACTTTAAGCAGAATCAAATGAATATAAGCTATGGATTTCCTTAACCCTAGATTATTTTGCTTGGGGGGGTAAGAAGAATTACTAAGCTATTAACTTAGTTAAAAAAAGAGACACACATAATAGTGGAATTAAGCTAGTACCTTAAAGCCACCTGATTCCTCAAGAAGCTGAACTACAGAATACACAGACAGACAACTAAGGAAAAGCTGTTTTTACTTTCCTCTGCCTCTTTTGGAACATTGTTTATGTATTTAAAAAGGAAGTTCTCACATTATTATCCTATTAAGAGTGATGCTAGCCTCCTGGAACTTGCAGGCAACTACTTTGGGAGGAGTTAGTCTCTCTGAGGTGCTTTTTGCACCTCAAGAGACCAAGTATTATCCTATCTTCACTTTGTCAGTGTTGCAATTCAAACCCCATACTAACCACAAAGTATTAATAGTGACCTTGATAGAAAGAATTGTGAGAAGAGATACATTGTGCACTAGTGCACGCAGTAGCGTAAGATACCAGAACAATTATAGTTTAAAAGAGTAATGACAGTTTTGATCACCACACAGACTTCTTCAAGCCCATACACCTAAGAGTTACTGAAAAACCCTTTGAAAGGGAACTCCTTTCAAAGAACTCAGCAACATTTCAATATCTCAGTTTTTGGGTGGCCTCTGAAGTTATATGGATAACAAGCATCACGCTGTGTGTTTGCTTTGATCACTAGTTAGTAAGCAATTAAAAATACATTCACAGCTTGAAGTGTGGAATATGGGTTTGGCAAACAGTTTGCTGACCAAAAAATCTCTTCCCAGCCTTACCAAATGTCATTCGGCCACTGATGATTTCTGGAGATTTCTTCATGTCATTAATAGCAGCAATAGGAAGTCCCCAGTTGGCTACCGGCCCCCAGAAGTGCTGTAAAGGAGAGAGGAAGAAAAGGAGAGTTACACAGAAACACAGAGCGTCTTCAGTATTCTTACAGGATAAATATCTACCTTTGTTTTCCTTACCCATACAAACTCCAAAAGCTCAAGGCTAACGGTAGAATTCCAAGTTAAGACAGAGACAGCTTTTGAAATAAAGGAGAAAAAGCAAACCCTTGTTTAAACAGGATCTAGTCTTCAGGAAGGAAGCAGGTGAAACCTACTCCAAGTCATCTTGCAAACTGAAAAGAAACTACAGATCCTGTAAGGCTGCTAAAATGAAGTGCTATTTGCGCATTTCTACCTCAACCATCATTAAGCAGTCTCACTGCTATGTTCAGTATAACCTCAGGTTTACAGCTCACTCCTGTGCAAAACCTAAGCATGCATCTCTTTCAGACAATACTTCTCCGAATCCAATGGAAACAAGGGTTAAGTAAAACGAAAAACTGGCAGTTGGCAGTTTTGTGTTACGCTGAGAATCAAGAAGCCCTCAGCAATCATATTCCTCCAAATGGCTACACCATCTTTTTGGAACAGTGGGGCTATCCAATAAGTTGTTACATACACCTTCATTCTGCAACTGCTGAAACAACTTAGTGGCTGCCTAAGGCTCAATGATTAAATAGATGTAAGAGTAGGGGATGAGTTAGCTACTGTTGTGTGCATATACAGAAAACAGAGACAAGAACTAGAAAGAACCAAGTCTGAAGTCAGTCAGAAAACAGACAAAAAGATAGAAGCGTACTGACTAAGAGACCCCAAACTGTGGAAAAAAAAAAAAAAGGGTTATAAGCCCAATTTCTACTATTGGGAAGAGAGAAGGCTTCAGTACAATTCTTCCTGCAGAAAAATGCATGCAGCACCTCCAGCAGCTTTTCCTAATGGAAAACTAAGGGTATGCAAAAGTGACTTAGGCCAGGTATGGTGAAAGAGATAAAGCTTTGCAGATGCCAACTAGGTATGTCTTGCAAAATGTCTGTTCTTTAGTCTCCTCCAATTGTAATACTGCAGGTATCCAATGATTTGGAATTGTCAAGGGACATAAGCTTCTTACAATCTGAATACCAGAGAGACACCCTTCTGCTAGGCTGGATGTTAGCTTGTGACACGACAGTTAGATTTAGATGAAGATTCATACTTCCTTCAGATTTGGGTTGCAATACAGCAAGTGAACTAGAACAGAACATAGGCAAAAAACCGTTAAGTTGCACACAATTTTGTTAGTTTAACCTTAGTGCAATATTGTGCAAGATGCGGTGCAGTACTTCTGTAAGTGTCAAAAGAACGTGCACTGGTCCAAACTCAGGTTCATAGCAAAAGTAGGTATTTAAAGTGTGTGCAGGAAATACGTTAGTTTTTACTATACTCCTACTGAGAGGAGAAAAAGAAAAGAAAGTCAACACTGGGAATGTTTAAAGCCTCTCAAGCAGCTCAGAGATGACATAACTGGAAAGAGTTGCATGGCTGCATGGCATTTAAACCTTACAACTGTGTTTAGATAGTGTAAAGGAATGTACTTGTAACACCATTAATACATAAAGTGTTTCCTGTAACAAAACAGGGATATTCACAGCAAGAGAAAGTCAGCAGCAGGTAGGATGCTGTGGTTCTGGAGGCTTTAATGCAACTATTCAAGTAATTTTAAAGAACAGGACAAGGACTTGCAACATACTTTGTATTTATTCAAATGCCATTAGAACATAAATACACCATAAAAAAAAAAAAAATCAGACCATGCCAAACTCAGGTTACATGAGCTGATCTTTCAACTGACATCATTATGTTGCAGCCAAACAGCAACCTTCCTCTGCTGACCAGAAAGCTAGATTTGCAACCTTTCAACTTGAACCGGCTATCTAGTTTTAAGTGCTCCAAGGCAAGCAATCCTTTGAAGTTTATGCACACAAGAACTAAATTGCACCTATGCAGTTTCTTTGGTTTACAGAGAAGGGCAAGAGAGTCTTCCATAACATTATGATTCATACTATAATAGTCATAAAGTACCAATTCCCAGTTTCAGGAGCAAAATGAAAAGTTAGGAGACAAAAGTCTGCAGTGAGAGTTACAATATGATGCCATTTACTGTCTGAAGTAAAGCTGGTTAAGAAGCCAGGTAATCGAGGTAGTTGATACCATTGCCGTGCAAAAGAATGACTCCAGATTTATCGCATCCTCTGCTAAGGAGATCAAAATTAAAGGAGTCTCCTTGATCTGAAATGAATACTTTAGGAAACATTCTGAAAGAGCTACTGATAGGTAACCTTAACCTCAGAGTTATAATTAAGTTTTATAAGTGTATTACCCCTGGATGTTAGCAATATGGCTTTTTAGATTCAGGCAAGTTCATAACAGTACTAGGGCAACAAGACTGCAAGCTACCGGACTAGAGTGAATAGGAAGCCCCCCCACCTTCTTACCGTACTTTTGAGTGGGCCATCGTTGTTTACCATTCAGAAAGTACATGGAAGAAAGAAAAAAGAAAAAAGTTAGTTTCCCTTATAAGCCATATAGGAAAAAAAGCTTATCGCAAATGGAAGAAAGGCAGAAGGAAGTCAGAGAAAATGCCCCAGCGTTAACCTTGATTAACAGCAGTATTAAAAGTCTATTTCCTTCAAGAACTGTCACTGTGACAAGAGTCTGTGGGCAAGTATTTTTTCAGTGGGATAAAAATCCCATTGTGGCAAGCGAAAGATCTTCCTCAGTCGACTTCCAAAGCAGCCAAGACCAAAGCATCCCAGATCCCACCCCAAACTAGTTTCAGAGGATGTCAGAACCCTCCAAGGTTTGACCAGGACAAAGCTAAATAACTAAGGCTCATCTGTGGAGGTTCTGAAGAGGTCACTTGTGTTCTTTGTATACCTGCATAAGTATGTCAATCCAAACCAAATCTTGCCCAAGAAGATCTTACTGTCACTATGTGCAGGCCAGCCACAGCTGTACTAAATGTGAGCTACTAACACATCTTCCATGGTCTAACACACAGTTACATTCCAGGCATATATGAGTTCACTTGGTTTAGTAACTATATGATCACGTAAGTTATTATTTAATTATCTGTGCCTAAGTGCTAGACTACAGCATGTCTTTAAGATCATTTGCTACTACATCTTTTAAAAATGCTTCAGAACTTTAACATTCTCTTTCTAGCAAAGATTCTGATATAACTCAACTGAGTTATGACTTTGCTCATTAGAGATCAGGCGTGAACAGAAAGCTTACTACTGACCAATTACTAATCATCAAGCACTATTTTGAGTCACAGAACATTTTAAAAATAGTCACCTTTCATCCATGTTTTCCATGTTCTCCGATTATTTTTTTTAATTAACACAAGTAAATATGGTAAGCGAACAGTTGCATCTACTTCAGAAAACAAAGAAGCATTGAAAAGTATATCCAGGTTGCTACGAGCAGCAGGCTGATCCAAGATGCTTTGATAGTGGTGTTTTTTTTTTTTTTTTGGAGTAGTCTAACAAATTGGCTTTTTGTTTTCTTATTACCTGAACTATAGCAACGACTAATGAAGTTCACAAGACTAACACATACTTCACTTTTCATACAACCTTAACTAAATGAGTTCAAAGCACGTCTCTTTCAGCCCATAGAAGTCAATCTCCATGTTAAAAATGGAAGTTGTTTTCACACAAGCAAAAGCCTAAAATAGAATCAGACTGACTGCTGCTAGTTTGCTATTTCACAGAACAGCAAACTGACAAGGCTAAGTTCTTCCAACTGTCCTCATATTCACATGAGACCGGAATAGTTATTATACTCTAGAACAGGACAGATCAAGGTTATAGCGACTCTTCTAGAAACAGGCACACAGCCAGGTTATCTCATTATTAGATATAAGGCATTTGTTGAGGATATCACTGCAAGTGCATGTGTCTACTCCTGAAATGATGTTGCCATCCCAAACTAGTTTAAGATTTGCACGCAGTCCCTTGATAAAGTCCCTTCTCAGCACACTGCAGCAACAAGAATGAAGGAGAAACCAGCTTGCTGAACTAATAGCGTCAGCATTAATCCCAGGTAGTCATGTGTTAGATCACTGATTGCTCCGTACGACAGGAGAACACCCAACTCTCAGGCCAGATTATAATTAAACAAAGCTTTAAGATCTGAAATTAAAGAAATCACATCTGTTTCTGTGTGGAAGAGATTGTACAAGCAGAAACCCGGAAAGGCATGTTAGTGCCTCTGGAAACAGAATGCAGTCCACCTGGATTAGCAACTTGTGGGGAAGTCAGAATTCTAGCTTTAAACATGGTTTAAGAGATCAGACTACCAAGTTTAGGAACGAAGGTTTCAGGAAAGATAAACCCAAAAAGCTATGCAAAGTACAGAATTGCACTTGAACTCAGGCATATTGTACCAGCATATCACCAAATTCTTTCTCCATATGCAAGACTATAGGACTAGACCACTTTTGTGCTTCCTCATGGACACTTTGGTCTAGAAGAAAGGCAGGTATTTGTCATAGTTGCTTACTGATCAGATAGACAGGGAAACTTCACAGCAGTAATTAAGTATGTTTTTTAAAAAGCACTAAAGAGAAAAAGAACACTTTGAAGTAGTTAGTTTCCAGAACTGGACAACAGTTGTTCATTTATTTACTTGTTTATTACACTTTCTGGATAAGGGTCTAGACACTGTAAGAAGAGCCAACAGATAATCAATACACTGTGTTGCTACTACAATTAATTCCCCAAAGGCTATACTGGGGTAGATATAGTGTTCCAAGAGTATTATATGTATTTCCCCATACTGTCAATAGACATACGGGGAGACCAGAGACCATTCTAGAAACACAGATGAAGTATCACCCACCTGTCTCCCCACTGCCCCACCATCCCCTAAATAAAAAGGGGTTGTAGCCTTCTGCAGAAAAGGGTAACTTGTGAAGTTACATGCAGAACATACTGCACGCTGTCAGGATCCTGTGTGTTCCTTAATTTCTAGCATAGGCCTGTGGCAGGAATTTAAATC